AAAAAGCATTCTCATTAACATATGAATTTATAATTAATAAGCAAATTTGAGCCTTTAATAGTTTTTTTTGGATTAAACAGTTTTACTCTATTTAGTTAAATTAACTAGAGATATTGAATAAGGTGACTTATAAAAATGATTAAAAATAATTCAAATTACTAACGTGATATTATAAATTTAACAATGCATGCACAATAAATTCTACAATATAATAAAGATTAAGTTTATCCTAATCTGTTAAAATTTATCTGCTTCAAGGCAACGGATGTATGAAATGCATACATTTATCCGTATATTTTTATTAAATTGGCATATGTCCTTACCTCAATAAAATAATTAATTTATCACTCACCAACCCAATGCGCAACAGCGGAGTTATATCAGCAACGTTGCTACGATGATTCTGTAACAAAAAAAAAATAATTAAAAATTCAAATTAAAACAAAGTAAAAAAATCAACCAATATTTCAAAAAATATTTATCTCAAGCGAGACAAAATATTAAGCAAAAATAATTGTCATCCGTAATTATCGCGAAATAGTAATAAATTCTATTTTTCCATCGTATTTTGATTCTAAATGAATGAACGTTCGTACGAAATGTTTGTTCCATGATATATATAATTGTCATCTCGATTCTTTTATGAATAATTAATCGTGCGAGTTAGTAATCTGAATGTGAATATTCATAAGTATAATGTTTCATACTGTTTAGCATTTGTCACGATTAAAAAAGAAATGTAAAGAAGAGAGGCACGCGACACGGCTACCTGCTTGTACGGGCCTCGATAATAAAATAACTGCGCGGTAATAACTTCACATAAACATGACGCGCCACCCCGTGCCACTCCGTGCCACCCCGTGCCGCCCGTCTGCCCTTCCGCTTCAAAACAATTCTCAAGGTTGCGTGCCGATCATCTAACTGTCGAAATATTAATGCGTATTACAAAATAAGTAAAATAATCTATTCGTTACAGTTTTAAGATTCTTTGAATTTATTGCACGATTTTTGTTTTATTTCTTGGATTCATTATGCACACAACTCATCTTAATATCTTAGATAATTTTAAATTGTGTTACAATAAGTTTGTAAGAACTTTTTGTAACACAAAATTCGCGCAATGTGCGCAATATTTTTAAGAAAAGATTTTAGCATTTTAGCGTAGTACTTTTGTTTTAGTACTTTTGAATCGTAATCCGATAATAAATCTAAATTTATGCAACGTACGCTTTCGATCCGAAAATAGAAAATGATATGCAAAGCCATTAACGTGCTATCATTCGTCATGACCATTAAAAAGGACATTATTAAGTATCGGTTTAAACGTGACAATTTGTAATTATTAAACTAAATTATCATATATTTCGACGCCTTGATGAAAGTAAAAATCGAAGCGTAAATCAGATATAATGGATAAGAGTAACAGAAGGGTGAACGAAACTTCTAGAAGGCGAAAATTGAAACAATAAAATGTGAAAGAAGCATTTACGTTTCTTTTATATTTTGATGTTTTAATTTTCTTCCTACAACGTTTCGTTTACGCTTCTGTTATTCTCCCATTATGCTCTGATTTTTATTTTCAAAACGCCTATTTCGAGCGTGTGATATAACTATAATATACCTTCGACGAATGATAGTCGCATCGACATGAACACGCACATTATGAATATCAATTCGCATTCGCAGATATATAATTTGAATTAATGCGACGCGCGGAGTGACCCATATTACATGTCTATCCCGCTCCGAGGTCGCCGAGCGAATACCGAAGTGATGACGTAGTCAACCGCCGCGCCTGGCGCCGCCTGGTACACTCCCCACTCACCTCGCCGCGCGGCGAAAAGCGAGAGAGAGCATGCCTTCCCCACTCTTCGTTGTTCGTCGCACGCTGTTTGGATACCCAATTATTGCGCATAAAAAATATTCACGGTTTATTCAATTATTCTTATCTTACATTATTTTGACAAACGGGTATCGTCGTACATACATTTTGCGCTTTGCTTTGTGACATCTTTGGCACTAATTTAATCTTATATTACTTGCAGAGTTCTTTAGTCCAGATCTATAATACAATAGTTTTAAGCCTTAAGCCATAAGAAATTGACCAATTGAATGTAAGGAAAATAATTGATTATGATTCGTCCATTTCTTACAGCTTAAAGTTAAAAACCTATTATATAATAGATCCGGGCTAAAACGTAATTAGTAATTATACAAAAAATATTTTTTCCCGGATACTTATATTATTTACTCTCTTCTAAAAAATATAATTATAAAAATAAAAACTTTTTGGAATATTTCAGCACCTCGTCTATCTAAGTACTTGTGTTTTAAAAATCCATTTATCTATTCAAAGGTTAAAGATAAAAATTTTCAAATTAAAATACGTAGCTAATGAAAAAAAATTTATAATTGATTTCAATGTCATTTTTATACCTATTATGTTTGAAATTTTATTGTAAGTGATTTTGCTAATGAGTTAGAAACATTTAAGCCAATCAGAACTCGATCGGGTCTCCAATAAAGAATGAGTGGAACATCTTTGAATCAATTGAGCATTGCTTGTTGGTGTTGCTGACGTGTTGCTGACATTTATACGCATGGAATAGTATCTATGTATGTATGCCGGTTATCCAAATTGCACTTAACCTGTGCTAGCTTCAGTGAATGTACAAGGAATTATACACAATTTATGTAAATTCTCGCTGAGAAAGAAAAAAAGGATAGGTCTATGATTATTCCTAATTTTTTCAGCAACAATGGGTAAGTATCAGCTCTTTGAAAGTTATATTTTCAAATTACCAAATATTAATAGAAAAAATTTAACAAGAAGTTGCATACTATAATGAGTAGTTATCAATTGTCATTGATATTTCAGTCTCATCGATCTGGTAATTTTATTAAATTAATTAAAACAAATTGTGTCTCCAAGAATAAATCTAATACATGAAAAATTGTCTAAAATTGTTTCTGCAATTGATAAGCAATACATCAAGGCAAAAGGATAGTAATTTTTTTATTTATCTTTTGTTACTCTTTAATATTATTGCTAACATTAACATTATATGTTGTTATAGCTGTTAACAGTGGAATGTCATTCATGCTGTCATCGATATTAGTGGTATTATTGTTCTCTGGTATGCAGATGTACAAAGTTTGGCTCAGCTCGTCACAATTGGGAACCATTCTCGGAGGATTGATTGGATCTTTGTTGTTTATGTGTACATTGACTGCTGTGGGAAATCTTGAAAGTACTTTATTCGGAAAGTCTTTCCAACAGAAATTACTTCCAGAAGGTATATAGAAACTGACAGAGAAAAGTCTCTTAAAAGTCAAACTAATCAAATTTAGCAAATTTCTTAATACCAGATATATAATTAGTGTAAAGTAGAATTTTTTTTCACCTTTTTATTTCATAGAATTTCAATTTCAATTTAATTTCTGAGAGACTCTTGTATTGCAATTGTGTTGTTTAATATTATAAAGTGAATTATTTAAGAGTTAATAGTTAATAGTAGTACAAAAATAGTTTTTAAATAATATACATAGGCTGATATATTTTTGTTACAGTGGTCTTCTCATTGACTTTAAGTTTAATTGCTTCTGCCCTAATTCACCGTGTGTCTACTACAACTTGTTTAATATTCTCTCTAGTTGCACTGTATTATATGAATAGAATTTCTCAGGAAACGTATGGCGTATCTATACAAAATACAGTTATGCAGTCCAAGAAACGCAAGTGAATAAGCATAAGGATATTTGTGCGACATATCTTTTTACTATTATGTACACCATAATATATCATACATTCTACGTAAAGCTTCCAATTTGTAATAAAATGCCAATTGTAAATTGTTCGATATTATTTTATCTAAGATATTGAGTGGTTTAAGATTTGTACTAAAAATTGAACCTCAATTATGAGCAATTTCCCTATCAACTTGCATTTATATAAATGTATGTAAATTTTGAAAATTTTGTGATGCAATAAGGGTTTGACTAATGAAACAATTGATGAACGACAAATTTGTATGTATGTAATGCTTTATGATAGTTTATGACAATATCATGATATTTACATCGCGAAATTTAATTAAATAACATGCAAAAAATATGAAAATATTTCTTTATTGCAGGTATAAATATTATAATATTCGGGGCTTTTGTTCTTCCGTTTTTCTATGCTTCTCAGCTTCTTCCTTATCGCTGAAATACTCAAATGTTTCATCAGAATCTTCCATGTGAACATTTGATTGATTACTCGTTACTTGTTTTATTTGCTCATTACTATTTTTGTGATCCGGCATTACTTGTTTATAAATTGCCATCGCCTATAAAATGTAACAAAATAGAAAATCTTGATAATACTATTATTAAAATTTTAATGAATAATGAAAAAACGAACAGTGTGCGACAAACCTGTGCTACAAACGTTGGAACATCTCCTACGTTGCTTGGCAATATCAATGTATTATTAACTTTTGCTAATTTATTGAATGCATTGACATATTGTTCTGCTACGCTGAGCGCCGCTGCATTTTTTGCATCCGCGACACCAAGTGCATTTGCAACTATTTGTAATCCCTTCGCTCGTGCCTCAGCCACTGCTACTACCGCTGCGGCTTCTCCTGTGGCTTTGTTTATTTGCTCTTGCCTTGCTGCTTCTATAGCAGTAATCAAGTTTATCGTTACAAAAATTAAATTTTTCACTAATTTTGTGTTCATACATGCAATATTAAAATTGCTTTTTCAGATAAATTCAAAAAGCAATGTGCAAGTTCACTATGAGTAGAAGTTATACTCAATATGAATAGCACACAGTACCAGAAGCTAAAATTCGTGCGAGTCGTTTGCCCTCGGCCACATTTATCTCAGCCTCCCTAACACCTTCAGATTCCAATATCGCAGCACGTTTCTTTCGTTCGGCTTCTACCTGCATTTGCATTGCTTCCTGCACCCTTGATGGTAATTTTATATCTCCTAAAATATCAATATACATTTAATAAATTTAATGAAGAATATTGTGTATTTATTTATTTTGGATAGAAATTTTTTCTAGTTTTAATCGAGCAATCTGAGATATCTGTTACATAAGGTCTGTTCTTTTTCGCTGAATTGTTGCACCAGTTTCTTTCTTTTCTCTCTAGGAGGAAAGAAGAGGAAGAAGGACGAATTAGTGTAAAAGTTCAGCCAAAAAGAACAGGCCTATAATTATTATTTTTACAACTCACGTATCTCATATCTTAGACAGGTTATTCCCCATGCACTACTCGCCTTGTTGATACTTTCAACAATGGAAACGTTTAATTCTTCCCTTTCCCTAAATACTTTATCTAAAGATATTTTTCCTAACTCAGATCTCATGGTAGTTTGGGCTACTTGAATTACTGCAAACTCAGCATCCTCAACGCCATAGGATGCTAGATAAGGATCAGTTACTCTTAAATACAATACCGCATCGATATTTAAAGTCACATTATCTGAAATCAAATCAAAAAAAGTAATTTATTACGAATACCGTGTTATATTCTTAAAATTTGTGTTAGACAGCATAGCTACCTGATGTAACTGCACTTTGTTGTGGCACATCTATTGCTAATTCCTTTAAAACTTGCACATATTTAACTCTATCAATGATAGGAAGCAAAATGTTCAAACCTGGTTCTAAAATTTTATGAAATTTCCCCATTCGTTCGACGATCCATGCCTAAGTAAAAACGCTTTTGTTTAGGCTAGTGATTACCAAATTAATTTTATATATAGTTTTATTTCAAATAATTTAAAAAATTGTAAGTTGCATAAAAGCTAACTTGAATAAAAGTTAACTAATCAGAAGTATATATATGAATCATGTACAGTAATTGGCATACATTACAAATATATTGTTCATTAAACAATGACAAACCTGTTGTTGAGGAACGAACATTATAACAGTGTTTATTGGATTTAACGGTTTATATCGTGAATTTTGTGTTACAGAACTAAACATTTTATTTCCTACGCTTGCAAACATGTGATCCTGCAATGTGAAATGTTCCGTGAAACTTATAATTAAAAATTTTTTCAGAGTCAAAACTGTGAGATATATTTCACCTTAACAAATCCCAAGTTCCTCGCCAATATCATGGCAGACACTGTGCGTTTATACATACTTTTATTATACTAACTTTAAGAATATAAATACAAAGAATATAAATTGACAAATTATCTTCTAGGTTTCTTCTAGGTTATAACAAGAATAACGCAATATTGGAAAAATAACCCGGCGTCGTCCAGCATAGAGTATGATGCAATAGAAGGAAAACTTGTCACCGAGATATTTTGTCATGTGAGAATACAAAGATCAATTCTGTATCTTGAAAAGAGGTGAAAATTATAAAAGTGAGCGAATTTACTAGAATATTTATAATTTCATTAGTCAATTAAACTAAATTTGCTCACTTTAATTTTCATCTTGTTTTAAGGATCGATAGAAGTGACAAACCAACTCATTTACATCTCATTTGTTGTGCAGTTACATATATTTGCATATAATATTTAATCTATAAACTATCATATATATTGGATACATTAGAACAACCATTATTCGTTTTAGAAAAGTTTGGAAAAATATAAAAAAATTGTTCATATACAATTATGCAAATTTTTATATATTATACATAAGTAATTTTCTTATATTTTTTCAAACTTTATTTTTTTTTAAACAAATAGTGCAGAAATTATCCTTTTAATTTACATGCATGGACATATTTCATATAAAATTATGTATGTTATAAATATTTATGCAAGTTAATGAATACACTATCATAAAAAGCATATGCCAAGTGCGTACAGGACTCTTTAACCTCATAAAACACGCGGCTCCAAATTCCGAGAAAGACTGAAAAGTTTTACGCCTAGCGTTTACTTATATACCAAATTCGAAAGCTAATTCGATCCAATAAGCATCCGCAGCGAGGCACGCATCGCACTCATTGGCTGGCATGCGAGTGGTGGGGTTCGCTGTTTGACTCGTATAAATAGCGCATAATTTCTAGCTTCGTGCTTTTGCGATTCGAGCAGGGGGCTGGGAATTTGTCCTGTCATTTTAACGTTGGAATAGTTCGCACTTCGCAGTCCTGTCTTCGAATCAATTATAACTTATTCTTCATAAGTATTCTACACAGAATCTCTCGGAACATAAAACACGAGCGAAACGGCACGAAAGGATCGTTGGATATATTTACTAAGGTAATCAATAATTAATTTTGCCTTTACTTCTCGTAACAGTGTAAATATCGCGTATTGTACAGTATTAGCACACTTGATTATTCGGCTGAAACTTTTCGCAATACTCGTTCGATCGAATATCAAACCGCGTGTCGTCGCGTCTCGCGTCTTTTACTTTTTATGCGTGAAGTTGACCGCACGACGCCGCTTCCCCATTTTGATCGCATTCACATTTCATTCGCAGTGGATAGGGAATGACGGCGGAACGGAATGACTCTCACGAGTGGCAACGCGATCAAATATGGTAATTAAAATCTATATAAAACTTAACTAAATATACTTACTAAATGTATATTGTTGATATTTAACTACCGCGTGACTATATAAATTCAATATTTATACATTAACAATCTGTTTGAATGCCGAAAGTATATCGCTTGAATAATTGATGAATGAGATTTTTGAATATCAAACTATAATACGGAAATAATCATAAAAGGCGAGTGTATATGTATCTATTATAATACGCGCTAGTCTTTTATGATTATTATTTCCGTAGTTTGATTGTAGATTGATATCAGATATATCTGATACTTGAAATACGGAAAATTCATGAACGCGACGCCAAGAGTGAGAAGTGCAGCATCACAACGCCGCATCGTTCGTCTCGTTTTTGGCATGCGAAGTTAACCGCGCAAAAACGAAAACCCTTCGTCAATCTAAATTACAACTACATTTCATTTACACATCTCGATTTGTAAATGAAGATATGATCAAGAGACGATCGTGATCATATGATATTTTGAAACTTGTAAATCTGTATTCAATTTTTGCATCTTAGTTTATAGCACTTATAATTTCAATATTTACAAAGAGAAGGACGCGCATTGTCACGTGTCGCGACAGCGCGCCGCTGCGTTGCTCTTGTGAAATTGATTGCACGACAGACGAAAAAACTTCGATAAATTAATTGCATTTATTTGCAGAATGCGGTGGATACGAGATAGGTCAGCTCCAAATGAATGCTGCGACTTATTGAATTGGTAAGTAAAATTTATATTAATTTTATATCTAATTTTTAAAATATCTAATTTTTGTGTAATATAGTAGATTCGGCACTAATATGCAGATAATTCGAGCATGTATTTCACAATACTTATGCAGCCGAATAGCAGTCGCGTATAAAATCAACTGTGCAGAAATTTTTCGCCATTTTAGATACATTCCAATGTCTAAATTTTATTTGTAAAATATAGCAAATATCGAACATGACAAATTTCTTGCGTTCTTATTTTTCTACTGTTGTAACATGAATTATGCATCATGTCTAATTAATGTCGGCTATACGAACAAAATATGACATGGTCACATAATATTTAGGGTGCGTTCCGTTTTCACGCTTACACGATGTAAGTTCATCCTTGTTTATCAAATATCAAACAAAAATAAATGATATATTTTATTACAAGTACTGTAAGTGCAAAACAGAACGCACCGTAGCAATTATTTGCAACTACACTTAATTTTAACAAACTATTTGTTTCAACTGATAGGTACACAAAGCAAAATGAAAAGAGAAGAGAGATAAAAAGCAGGCTTGACAATTTTATGAGGAGAAGGAAGAGAAGGAGATTCAGAAAAAG